GTTCTCCCAGTTCAAATATATTGACCCACAGTCTTGCATGTGTCAGGTCACTGATTCTGTTCAAACAGCAGCCCCACAAACAACTGCACTGGCCAAAAAAAAAAGAAAGAAAAAAGTGATGTAAAACTGGCAAGGGGCAAGACCAAGCAGGCAGGGTTAGAGAACAGGCGTTTTTGTACAGTCATTGTTACCACAAAGAAAAAAAGTCACAATCTCAATGGTCTAACACTGAATACCTGTAAATTTATATGTAATTTAGTGGATTATGATGAATTAATCTCAAACTCCAGGAGAGAAAAAAAGAAGAAACATGCTTTTACCTTGCCTGTAGGCCAAAGTGTTGAAAATGCAGGCATTCCACTGTTGAAAAGTATTTGATGAAAAACCCCCACAAATCCAACTAATATCAAGGTGTAAAGCTACAACTACTACTGAGCAGTCTTGAATTAACAGTCATAGTGTTATCACAGTAAATGTGTTAATGGAAAGCAGCCCATCCTGATAATTGTCTTTTCACACAGAAATCTATGTAGAAATCCAGATTCAGACCATGAGATAAGCTATCAATTGACCAAATACAACAGAATTAGGGCACTTTTTTCTGGATCTGACAATCTTACCTTGATAAAAAACTTACAGCATGTAACACACATTTTTCTGTTACAACAAATTGTGATTTTCTTTTTAACTACATTTTTTTCTTTCATCTATCCCAGCTACCATGATAGACATGGTAAATAAATCACATTAGACAGTAATACATGTGGTTAGGATATGTGGCAGTGTTTTGCTTTTATTTCAGGAATAACAATGCTAGAACATCCAGGAAAACAGCTCATACAAGAACAGCTCCGTGGTTTGGAGATACTGGAACTAACACAGCACATTTACCAGTCAGCTTCGCTATACTTGGAAAGAATTCTGGTGTTTTGGACACATGTTGAACATGAGAAAAGTCACCTACGTCTTGTGTGCGAAACCCAAGTTACACCATAAGAGCAATTGGGAAATAAAAAAAGAACTGTACATTCAGCAGACGAGACATCATCATCACCAAAATGAGCCAGGCAGATAATTCAAATCAGAGTAAACATAAATTTAGCTCAAAGATGTTTTAATTTTTTTAAAATTTTAATTCCATTTTTCAGTATTTCCTAAAGAGAAGTATTTTCTGAAAATCTAAAGTGAAGGTGATAATTCCAATGTTAAATTAGGGTAATACCAAAGTGTAAACCAATGCAAAATAATGTTACTTCTGTTGATTTTAGTAACTTGTAAACAGTATTCTTCATTTGCACAAGCGGCAATGAGAAATTTCACACGTCAGTATTGTTTGAAAAATACTTGAAGTGCATTCTAAAAATGGATTTTTGGTTGTTTTTAATAGCTTCTATCATAGATTTCTCAAATTAGACATAATTTTATGCTGAGATGGAGATAATTCTCTTTCATAATCAAACCCCTTCAGATCTATTGTTTTAAGAATGATTTGGAAAAAAAAAAGATCCCAACTTCTATTAAAGGCTAAGATTTGTCACTAGCACGCTGTTACAGAAACACCACAGACTTTTTCCTATTTATTATTATTATACAGAAGTTATTTTTAAGTGCTCATATTTTCAACAGAGACTGTTGTTATAATCCAGAAATATAACACCATCTATATTATGAACACTACACCTCTGGGAAAAAAAAAGCTGAGGTTTTTTTTTCCCCCAGAAAAACACCCTGAGGCATGAAGCTTCTATTCCATTGGTCACAACATTCAAAAGCATTCAGTAAACCAATGAGATACATTGGTACAGCGTTTCACAGTTTCTGAATTGTGAACTAAATATACAGAATCATGAGGTATGCACAAGCAGACATGAAGGCTTACATAAGAAAATGCCTGGAAACACAAGCCACAGAAACGGAGAGTTGATCTCATGCAAGGAACTCCTCAGAACTCCGTAGATCTTTCCGTGTCTTGCACCAGTAGAACAGAGCAGTCAGGCTGTTGGATTGTCTCACTGCTATTAAACAGCAATATTGAGCATTATTTTTATTAAAAGAAAACAAACCAAAAACAGCTTCATGGAAATCAAAGGCTACATAATCAGTAAACACAACCTGCTGCCTTCCCCCTTCTTTGTGTCAGTTGTGTCCTACAAAAGTAAAGATCAAAGTTCCTATTAAATTTATCATATGGCAGTAGTTTGCTTTCAGGTGCTCTCCCCTCTCCTTACCCTTTCTCCACTTTCAAAACGCATCTCCAAGCTACAAATACTCCAGTAAAGACATTTAATAAACATTAGTCACCTTAAACAGCCGAATACCTTAATCTCCAAGTACTGTATAAGGAGAGTTACCCTGATCCTTCCAGTTTCTTGTCTTTTCTAATTCCTTAGGGGATTCACGTTAGACAATGTCTAGTCATTATTATGTGGTTATATTTCTAGCCAAAAGGGTCAAATTTATAGTAAAAAAAATGCCATCCTGAGCCCACTGGGGAAAAACAAACAAACAACAACTCTCTCCCCCTCAAACCCAACAGAATTTAGGTCCTAATGCTGCAAAACGTGCAGTTACTACAAACTCAATTCAATAGTATTATTCAAAACACAAGAAAAAACTTAAATGTGAAATTAAACTAAATAAAAAACTCCTAAAACCAAACAAATCCTCAACCTTCTTTGCATAGTTGGAGTTCCTTGTCCAAAGAAGCAGACGTATAAATAACCACTTCTTAGGAACCACTTCCCTTTTCTCTTCATGTAGGCTTTGCAGAGTATGTGCTAAGTCTCAGCACTCCAAAAGAGATTTGATTTTAGTTATTATTTTTTTAAAATCAAGATCCCTCCCCCTCCAATACGTAAAGAAAATTTGAAATACATTATAAATAGACTTTACTTCCTTTATTTTCGTTGTTAAAGCAAATTCCTGTATTTTCTTCATAAAAATTACTCAGCTTGCGTCCATGGTTTTCTTGCCCAAATTTCAAGTTGCTCTAAGCAGGCATTAAATCCAGACTGTCACCTCATGTGTCTTTTGTTCATATGGTCACCTTTGCCTCAGAACAGCAAACCTAAGATCTTAAAAAAAATAAACCACTGAATCAGAGAAACATGATCATTCGTCCAACCAGGTAGGTGTTTATAAAGCATTTTTGTTACTTCCTTATTTCTCCACTCACATCTTTTTTAAGTCCTTCTAATATTATGGTACATAATAAAGAGGGACAGGTCAGACCATGCCAACTCATTGTCTCACAGATTGTGGTTCCAGCCAACAACCTTATTTCAGATATTTCTCTGTCAAACCTCTCATCCCTTCACTCTTGCATCAGACTGTCTTCCAGTAATTCATTCAAACTCCTCCACTGCCAATTTCTCCCTTTGTTCTTTCTATGGCAGTCATTTTGCTGTCCTCTGTGCAGGTTTAGACATCAGGAAAAATGCACTGAAAACACAGGAAGAGAGCCTCATTCCTCATTTCTGTGCACAGTAGCCAGGAGGAACAATTTCAGACACCAGCTCAGCCCCAGTAGGATTCTCTTAACACACTGGTTTTCCAACTTTTTAAAAATTCTAACCCACTAAAACATTTGTCACTAGAAACTGTGAATTAAGATGTGATTATAGGCTTGAGTATCAAATGTATCTTGTGAGTTTCTCAGAATCAGCTTAAGTTTCTTCCAGTGGGTCTGTGGAGCACAAGCATAAACCTATACGAGGTAGAGGAGTATTCAGTTGTTCTGTGTGTGTAATACATGTGTGGTCAGGTTGGCACCCTAGAGATTGGAAAGGAAAAAAAAAGCATGCTCAGCGGAGACAAATCTTCAGAATACACAACAAAATATTTAATAGAATTCATGCCTCCAACTCCAAGAGCATTCTATGATATTTCAAGTCCCTTACTCAAATTTTGAAAACAGCAGAGGCTTTTAATGAAACATGTTCCCCAAATTCATTCTTATACACAGATTAATAGTTTTACTGGAAACTTTACAAAGTAAAAAGAAAGTCTGGTGCACTTTGAGTCCAGAAGAGCAGAAGTTTAACAAGCTTTCAAGCAGCTGGAAAGCTTTACTAATGAACGTCAGGTAATCATAACTAAAACTTCAATACCAGCTCCACATCTGCATCAAGCAATTATTAAAGGCAGGTTTTAATGTTTAAGTTTTTAACGGTTATAAGGAAAGACTATTTACACAATTAAATTTGATACTTAATACTACCTTGGCCTTCCCTCAGTGGCAGTGACTGCTGTCAACGCTACATCACATATTACAACATAATAAGCAGAGAGGAGGTTAGTAAAAAGAGCCCACGCTTTGTTTTTAATCCACTATAAAACTGTAACACCCTACATGGAGGAGTAAACAATTTCATTTACAGAAAAAAAAATAAAAATATGTCCCCACAGGTAAAAAGAAATCCTTTTGGTAAAGACAACAAAGTACTCAAAATATAGTTAGAAAATTTTGGCATCGGTCTACTTGCATGGTCCATGCCAAAAAGCTGTATGGAGAAGATGTGTAAGCTGGGTAGAAAGGAGAAGAATGGGTAATACTGGGTAATGTAGAGTTTGCTACAGGATTAAGCTAAACGTTGAGAAATCTCTATCTATAGAAATACAGAAGAACATTCTACAGAGCCAGACAGTAAAGAGCAATTCGTAATAGCTGGCCACAGTGCACTGAATTCCTTTTTCTTCCTTAGAAGTTGCTTGAGAGATACAATAGGTAATAGCACCGCCATGCTGCCAGATAATGCCAGAATGATGAAATTTATCAGTACAGCAATTTTACTGTTAAGAAAACTGCTAATGAAGATCCTCATGAACAAGAAGAGTTGTACCAGGAGCATACAAAGTCAAGTTACACTGATGCCATAGATACTATCTCTGTGCTTTAACACCCTTTCAGTATTTCTAGATTTATTCTGCTGGAAAAAAAATAAAAATCAAGATAAATCAAATACATACAGAAACACACTCACTCAAATGGCACTCATTGCTTTTTGTACAATTAAGCTTTAGTGAAAATATACATCTTAAAACAAATGAAGTACAAATGTACAAAAATCCTTGAACTCAGATAAAAAATATATATAATACACTTTGCTACAGAGATATAAAACATTTAAAGTTTGCTCATTCTTTCTGATGAGAGTGAAATGATTTAAAGTCTAGAGGACTCCTGCTCATCATCACTGCAATCAGATTTGAAGCAGACCTGCAAGAGAAGACAAAGAAAATTCAGCTGCAGAACCGACACTGTTGTTGGTTTGTGTGTTTTATGGGACACAGAAAGGCTGTGGTGTGGGGGCTGGCTCTTTTTCCAGCACATTTTACTCCATACTAAGTAAATGCTTTGGGAATATCAAAGGAAACCACAACCCAACCCCAAATCTCAGCTCATTAAGGTTTCATTTAACCTTAAGATCTTTCCTCCTTTAAATTCACAGGACAATGAACTGCAGTCTCATACTTCAAAACCGACTGAAGGCTCTCAAGCCATATTAATTCTTTTAAGACTCTTTCTCAATACACAGAACCATATCTTGGGACAGTATGAACCCTGCTGATTCAGCTCGGAGAGACTACAGTAAGACACAAGCTTTAACTTCAGCTATGTGAGATTACTAGTACACTTAACCATCCCTTCTATTCCATTACTCTAAGTGGGGGGAAAGTGAATTTGAAAAGGTGAACTAAAATGACAGTACTATTATACATTCCATTAGCACTGCACCATTTTAGAGAGGTGAATTACCAGCTGATGACCAAAAAAATATCATCATGAAATTTTAATACATAGCCCCATTGTGGCTACTTAATGATATGCTCCTAGCAATTTTAAAATTCCATTTCTGCTTGAAAGCAAAAGTGATTTCTACAGAAGTGTCCTCTACTGGAATATACTCGTGCTTCTCAAGATAATTCCACTCTAAGTGCAGGCATACTGAGCAAGCAGAATTGTGTACATCTTCAATTGAAAACCTTTACAGATAGCTTATTTCTCATGACCTATAAACAAGAACAATATGCTACATGCCTTTTAGGTGGTAAATACTCAATTCATATACCTCTAAATGTTTACTAATATGCAGAAGTTATGCGTGTGAGAAAAAGCTGTGTGTTATCTGAAACTATGTAAAAACATTATGTTGTTGTTTTGGTAAAGGCATTAAACTTCCTAAGATATTTCACAATTTGTTTTGCGTCAATTCTTCACATACATTTGTTTAAGGGATATTATCACTGATTTGCTTAATACACAAGAATGATTCATTTGGAGCCCAATTTTCAAAAGGACTGAGTCCTAGGAGTTGCACTGGTCCACCACATACACTTCTGAGTTCATTAGTCAATGTTATTTAAAGTTTTACAGAGGGGGCCTCAATTATCTCTGAAGTAATTTCCCCAGAAGATTTTATAGAAACTGGCAAAATATTTAAGGAACAAGACCCAAATTAATATCAGAACAGCTGTTAATAGCACACACTACCTTTTCTCCAGGTAACAGCTAGCAGATACTAGAGGAAGACAGAATGCTGAGGGAAAAAAAAACTCTAGGAGTTATAAGGACCCCCCAAGTTTCTGAAATGCAGTGCTGGGGCAAAGTGCTAATAAACCACATTTCATTAGTTTCAGTATTCAGCAAACAACTTGTTTTTCCCTATCACAAAACAATATAAAGAACTGAACAACCATTAAGGTCTTACTGGTAATTTTCTTGTGAAAGAAAAGAAATACCCTTACCTCTCCACTAAAAAGCCTGTGAAAGAAGCCTCTCTTTGGTTTAGGAGACCTCTCTCTGTCTGGTGACACAGTACCATCTGTTTCATATGCATTGATATCTTCAAAGCATCCCGTTTCAATCATCTTCGAAACATATGGAATATAAATGAAATATCCATACAAGCCTCTCAAACAAGTTCCAAATTATACCACTCAAAGTTCCATGAAGGAAGGCACAAAGTCTACATTAACTCTCCTTGTACACCCAGCGAAGTGAAGGATAGCAAATGAGAGCACGATCACGCAGGTAAGCTCTCACATACTTCTTGCTTTGGTAAGGCCTTTCTTCTGCCCGTAGCAGAAGCTTTTAGAACCAGAAACTGATTTTCCTTTCATCTATTCTGCTCATTTCAGAGCAGTGGGCCCAACTTTATTAATAACCATGGCACTGAGCAGCAGAAGTAATTATTCTAGGCAAAAGACTAGTACCTGCATAGTATTAGGGGGGATACCTTTTACAAAGGGGACAAATTGCACTCTCAGGGAAAAAGCAGCTGATGTCCGACCATAGTAATTAAACATCATTCTGGTGCTTTGGGCAACCCTCTATCAAAACACAACTAACATATACCATAATTAGAAATAAGGCAGTGAGACAGAAAAGTTAATACTTCATGGGAAAAAAAAAGGTATCATGAAGATACATCTCTGGAGAGAAGCAACAGATTTTGAAGTAATCTGTGTTTGTGCACACAGAAAACAAAATAATTAAAACCCCAATTACTGGGTGCAGAAAGGACAGCAGAAAGAGTAGATGCCAAAATGTAACACAGGCATGGTCAGAAGGGGGGAAGTGGCTAACACCCACATTTATCTGTGAGTGCCACTGATACACATCTATCATAAAGGGCATGCAACCAAATGCCTTGTAGAGAGACAGAGGGCATAAAGAGGAGTAAGAAGAAACATGGTCTGTTTTTTGTTGTAAACCAAGTCATTAAGTAAATTATGAGAGGGAAGGAGGCATTGTTAAGAGACTGAGAGCAAAGGTTTGAGGGAAAGGTCAGTAACAAGAATTAAAAGAAAAAATAAACATAAGTGTAGAATTAAGTCTGCACTGCACAGTTATTCCTTGAAGAGAAGGAATTACCATTACCAGAATTCCACAACTACTTCCAACTTTTTCCCTCTATGTGGGATTAGTTATTAAGCTGCAGTGCAATTCTTAATGACTGGATCATATTCTGAAGTTCAGAGTTACAACATAGCAGAAGAAATATTTATTTCTCTAACAGCCTATGGTTCATTGCTGCTTAGTGAAGACTGTCTACGTCAAGTGACACTTTTCAATTCTCCTTAATGTAATAGGAAAAAAAAGGCAAATAGGAAACAAAAGTGAATGTACCTTTTTCTCTGACCTTTTCTCAAAATCACCCATCTTTCAGGTTCAAGCTTTAATTAAAAAAATCATGCTGGGAAAGAAACTACACTAGTAGAATTCAAGACAATACTAGTTTCAGAAAGTTAACGAACATCTGATAGTAGGGGGAAGGCATTCATAACAAGTACTGAAGAACTACAATTTTAAATAATTGTTACTGAGCGCTCTTCCTGAAATAATAAAGAAGATTCGAATTTCCTAAAAGCAAACTGAACTGCATGCCGAGACAGCAAAATTCTAGTATTCTATGCAGAGTACTAGAATACTCATTCACCAGGCAGATGAAAAAGCTTTAAGAGAAAGTCTGACTCAACTGATGTTGAATTGTTTGTTTTGAAACCTTAGAAAAGGTGAATCTGCAGTTCTGTATTACTGTGTCACTTGGATACTCTATTGATACACAGGCACGATACACAAACAGCCTGCACCACGTCTATTTGTTTCTGATTACTTTAACTAGCTTTCTATCCCTCTCCTGTGAACAGCAGTATTAACATGTAACAGAAGAACATGGAAAATGTGGTCATACCGATGCTAAATTCTGTATCTATTTATGCAATTTTACCATAGATCTCAGTTTTTAGCAAGTTTATGTTTTGAAAAAAACTGTTTTCTGAAGTTTCTCAGCAAAGCAGTCTAAAGCAGAAACTTCTTTACATCTCACAAAGTTAATACTGTAATTATATCCCTTGCTATATCTTCTGTATTGCTGTGCTAAAGAAAATAATCTTTAATTAAATATACAGTACCTCATTTTGCCAAGGGATTGAGACACAGCCCGTAACAAATTTGGAATAGAAGTCATCATCTGTGGTATCCAGGTTCACTCCTTTTACTGTCGAGAACTGCTCTATGTCCAGGACATCTTTACAATATACGGCACGTGGCTGCAGTACAATACAAGATTGCTTCATTAAGGTTTTGGTTTTGAAGTTTTTTGTATTAGTCTGTTTGTTTTCTTTCCTAGACAAGCAAAGGGGCACAACATGTCTGCAATTTTGCAATTCACATTGCTGATCACCAAATTACACTATACTACAAAACAGACATGCAGACACTTAAAAGGCTCTCATCATAAGGCACCTGAGCAATTCCATGCATCCTGCAAGTAACAGAAAAGAAATCAAAACCAGGAGCAGCATGCAGCTCCTCAGGGCTTCTTAATGGTTGTCATAATTCACTAATCTTCTGTCACCCTCCTTTCAACTCCAGGGTAATTTCTTCACAGCTAATCTTTATTTGTTCAACATCTGAGCTAGGGAAGTAGACTTTTAAAGGCTTAAGATATCAGCTACAAAGCTCCTTAGAGCAGTGCCACTACTGTCAATCGTTTTGTGATCTCCGAAGAAATGCCACAAAACAACCAGCCACCAATAGCTACAATGGCATCCTCCTGCCACTTTAATTTTAAAGGTTTCTCCGGAGTTCATGATTGTTGGCATAGAATAATTACAGTCCTTGCCTTTTTAGATACTAATCAAATCTGTCTCACCTACTTACATCTGGCAAGAACGGAGGTTCCAACATGTTAGCTTCCAGCCTCTTGAAGTTAATATTCTTGAAAATAGGATGTTGCTTTACAACAGCAGCTCCACCTTCAGTGCAACCCAGTCGTTCCCCTGGATTTTTAGCAAGTAACTGCAAAAATATGGAAAAATAAGGCTGTTCCAGTGATGCAATGACACAATTAAAAGAACCAAATAAAATCTATATACAATGTCTTTCAATAATTTTATCTTGTTACTTGGCCTTCTCTTAGATGAAATTTATCATGGTATCAAAATGAACTGGAAATCCAAACCAACATTCTGGGACCAAAAAGATTTTCAGTAGACAAAAGAATCCCTGAAAGTGCACCATTTGAAGATTATACCCAAAGTTACATGAAAATATTTCAACTGATGCCATGCTGAATAGATTTTCCAGAACAGACTTTGCAGCAAACTTTACTTTCAGGAAATGGAGGCTTACTTTTTTCCCCAATGGGCTTAAATAATGCACATATTTTGCATAAACCAGTAAAGAAAACTTTTGAAGCTTTCTGTATAGATGTGCTTCTCATTAAATTTAAGAAAATGTAAGATTAAAAAAATATGTTATATACTAGTATACAACTAGTACAACTAGTATACTATTCTCCCTGTATTTCTCTCCATACAGTATCAAAGTTGAGCATACTATTGTGCTTCATCTGTAACTACACATGGTCCAAGGAGTACTGGACCTTTTCATTCACGTGATGAAAAATCAATTTATGCAACCTTCTTTCATCTTGAAAAAACATTCTGAGTTCTCCAAGTGTGAAAAGCAAACAATTCATGGACAATCACAGATGTCCATCTGAATCAAAGTAAGATTTAAGAACCCCAGCTTTAAAAAATTTTCAATAGAAGATGTTAAAATAAAGTAGTTCATCTCTTAAAAAGAATTAGAAATTTAATTTTCAAACCTCTACGTCTCTTCACCCACCATCCTGCAGATGGATTTTGCCTCCTCCGAGAACTTGTCTGAATATGCTTCCTGGTCTTCCTTTACCCTCCGGTCAATCTCATCCCGCTTGACCCTTTCCTTATGCTTCCTGAATGGAGACTGTCCTTCAATCATTTCATAAATCAAGCACCCAAGACCCCACCAATCCGGGCTGAATGTGTACTTTTCGTTTTTGAGTACTTCTGGAGCTACAAAACAAAACAAAGAAGCCCCCATGACAATTCACTTTAACTAATAAAATATTGAAAAAACTCTTGGGTACTCTTTTAGCTCTGCGCAGAGATCTTTGCATAACTCCTCTGTACTCTGAAGAAATGTTACTTTCCACTGCAAGGTCTGTGTTTATATCCAAAAGAAGCACTTGAGTTCTTTAACATTTAAGATCAGTACTGTTTATGAACTAAGAATGAAGTTTTTCCAAAGTATGGAAGGAAATTGTTGTCATAGTAATTTGTCTGCTTACCTGTCACCTTAGATCAATTTGAACCTCAGAAAAAAATTACGTGCTTTCTACCTAAAGCTAGAATTTCCACAGTTAAGTTTTCACATTTATCAGCAGGCTTATAATTGACTACTGACATCTACCACCACATACTGTAACATTTCTTCCCACAAAATGTATCAAACTAATCCAGACCCAATATAATTCTTTGGATAAGTTATTCATATATTCACAGAAGTAAATTTTCTGGTAAAATATAACTATCAAAGGATACTTTACATACCCATGTAACCAACAGTGCCAACCCGTCCTCGGACTGTTTCTCCTTCTGGAATCTGCACAGCTAATCCAAGATCCGAAATTCTGATGTGCCCTATTTATGTAAAAATAAATTACACATAGTCAGCAAATTATAAATATCATCACTTTTAAAACAAAGAATTTCTGTAGCACATACCAACAAAAAAAATCACTCCAAAACATAAAAAATTCATATACTCATAGCACTAAATTTATTTAACTTAACTAGACAGGAGTTACTTATAATTCAATCCCCCCTCAAATATGTAAAGGAAGAGAGACACAGATCTAACTGATTTCCTGAAGGTCATACAGAAAAAATTTGCTGTTGAATACTCTAATTCCTAGCTTTGGCATAGGTTACTGCTACAGAATGAACAGAAGTGATGACTGCTCATTTCATATTCTCCATGTACGCATCAGACATTTGTATTTTTCCGTTCTGTATTCCCACCACAAACACTTGGCTTTCTGACTTCCTAACAAAACATCAGAATTTACCCCACTTATCCCAAATATGAGAAAACTGCAGCGTGTACTGAGACATCAGGTTTTCCTTTGACAAAGTACCTGAATAAAGCTAAGCACAAGTAATTGGAACTGCTATCTCCACTCTCAGCCCAAAACAAAAGTAGCCGAGCCATAATCTACTTAGAATTATGTTTCATTTTTGTTGTAACATTAGTTCAATATTAGGATTTCTCCTTCTTATGAATCAGTCCAATGTAGATAATTTCAGCTTCTATTTCATTTTATAAACCAAAGTTGACTACCTCTCCTATCACGCATGGCATTTACAGTCGTACTTATAATGCAGAAGTAGTCTGGTGGAAGGCTATGACTTGTTATGAACAACACTGCTCTGGTGGGGAAACAGTCCAAGAAGGGCAATGGGAACAAGTTCATTGCACCCTCCCTTACATTCACATGGACAGGTAAGAGTTCTTTGCTGAATAACAAATGATTCAAGACAATTCAAACCAAGAATTGTATTGATATGGTTCGAATTTAAAAATACGTAATGTATTTCCTCAATAAAAATATGAGAGGCTGGACAGAAAAAAGGATAGTTACATTTTTAACTCAATTTTAAAACAGAAATTTGCCAGTCATTGGTAGTAGAGAGATTCAGGGTGGGGGAAAAAAACTACACAAAAACCCACACTTATTTCTAATACTAGATAGAAAGACAGGGACAATGTAATTTACAGAAACATCACAGATTCACAGCATAATTCAGGCTGGAAGGGGCTTCAGAAGGTCTCTAGTACAACATCCTGAGCAAAGAGTCATCGCAGTGCTCCAGGCTTTTTAAATTCCTGTCTAGAATGCCTCCAAGAGTGGACACTGCGCCACCTCTCTGGGCAGTCCATTCCAATGCCCGAGGGTCCTTTGTGCATATATTCTCTGTCACTCAAAAAGCTCTGCAGCACCAACGTTAGTTAACAGCATAATAATTTCTTGTTTATATGTGGCAGATAATCAAGGGGTGAGGAGAGAGTGGAAAAAGTCAAGTGCCACTATATATACTGGTTGGAAATAACTAAACGCTCTTGAGCAGCAAATGCTATTTTAAATACATTCAGATGCTCTTCTATTCTTTGACATCTGATGAACCCCTTTTCAAGTGCAGGATCTGAGCTCCTGAAGCAATTTTCTAATTAGTCCCCTCTGCTCTCTGGAACAAGATCAGAAGATCCCTGGCAGAGAGAAAGCGTTCTAGTGCAGTCCTGCAAGGCTACATTTTTCCTCAAAGAAGCATACAGCTTTTGCAAGACATTGCTGGAGAGAAAAATTAAAGAATGCATTTGATGTCTAGCAAAGCTTTAGCTTTTTGAAAGCAACTTCTCCCAAGCATCACCTTTTTAGAAATTTATCAGTCAGAACACGCTGACTTTAAAAATAAATATTGCACTAACGACATCGAAACCAGTTTTTCCTTAACTAAAATACTCGACAATTACAAGAACAAACTGGTAATGTTCATCTACAGCTTAGAAGGTAATTGCTGCACGTTCTGCAGTGAACTCAAAAGATTTTGATAAATTTCATCTGAAGTCATTAAATAAAATTAATTTGGCTTTTGAAAAACAAAAAACTACAAGCATTTCTTCATATTGTTTGTACTTCCTTGATTCCTTCCAGCCACATATGCATCAATGCCTGTGAGACCTATTTTAATTGAAATGCTAAAACAAACTGAGATGCCTCAGATTTCTTGTCTTCTTTATTGCTTTAACATTATAGCTTACTAAGTAAAATTCACACTTAACAAATAATGTTTTCATAGTTGAAGAAAAGAGAGAGGACAGATGCATATAAAAGTTTTAGCCATCTTATATCAAGGGGAGGGGGAGAAGGAGGAGCAAAAGGGGAAGAGTGACCATTTTAAGGTGGAAAATTGACCCCTCAAAACATCATCATTCCCCAGAGATGCAGTATTCTGCCCTATTGTCTAAAAAGGAAGGGCAGTTTTTTCTTCACTAATTGAAGTTAACATTTGTCAGTCAGGTCTCTTTTATTATGAAGAAATCCTTTTTGATTCCTGGCATAGCATTCATTAGATTTGTAAATCCCAATTTCAAAATTAATTTTAATTTTTACTTACCACAGTCATCAAGGAGTATATTCTCAGGCTTCAAGTCTCTACAAATTAAACAGACCAGAAATGTGAATTATGCAACGGCAAAATTATTAGCCATCCTCAAGTGCAACCGAGGCAAAATAAGGCTTCTTGGTTCTGATTAAAGAAAATTTTCCAGCTTCCGCCTAGATACAAAAAAGTTATAAAGTTGAGGACCTCTAATATAAATAGTTTAACCACAGAACTCAAGAGCCATTTTTTCCCAACTCTCTAATCCATGTACATTAACAACAGCAACTCATATTTCACAGACGAGAAACTTCCTCTACACAACACTGAAATCCCAATATTAAAAACCACCAACTTACACCCAAATTCATGGTCACAGGACATTTCTCCCGAGTATCAGCCATACAATTCCATAATGGTAAAACACACCAGTGCTGGCTGCAGTTCGATGCTGAGCCCTTGGTATATTCAACTCCAGGATGTCAGAATATCAACAAAGTAATATTCCTAAGACTAAGCACAGGCTTAATATCATCCAGTCAATCTCCATTCCTTTAATTTTGACATGCAGCTTCTAAAGCTTACTATATACATCACCTTGTTAGGTTTCTTTACAATCAACTTTCTAAGTGTCTGCTACTTCTCTGTAATCACAAAAGTTTCACATGAAACATTTTTTAGCTATTAAAAGCTAGCAAGACTCAGGAAATAATAAAAGGACAGTTAACTCAGTGTTGCCTATAAAATGTAGAATTGCATCTTCTTGTACATTTTTACTTTAAGAACAAAAGAAGAAAAATCAATGGGATATTTGGATTCTTACCCCCAGGAAAATCTGGGGAGTTACCAAAGCTGAATCAGAAGCTGTTCAGAGGTTATGTCTAGGATTTATCCTCTAGCAGATTTTGCTGAGAACATGCCTATTTTTTGATATATTATATATATATATACATATACACACACACACATACATACACACACATATATATATATGCATGGAATATATGTATAAAAGACATAATGTATATTCTATATAATTGTGATATGCATCAGAAAGTACGTGGACTGCAATACAGTCTTAGATTTATTCCACCATAAATATCATAAGGCCAGAAACAGACAAGCGAAAATCAGTGCTGGTTAAAGATTCAGTTATTATTGGACTAGATTATTAAAAACAATATGTACATATATGTGTATATGTACAATTGTTACAAGAACAGTTATTCATATACAAGCAGAAGAGACTGAATAATTTAAAATACGCAATTTAAGGAAGAATGACTCCAGAATTTACATTCAAAATAAGAAAGAAATATATACACACACAAGACATTTGTTCACCAAGAAATCTGTAGGCTTTTTTTTCCCTGAAATATTGATAAACTGATGCTCTGAAGTATGTGCATTTAATATTAAAGTTTCACTATTTCATGAGATGAACTGTATAAAGAATTCAGCAAAATGCTTTGCTTCTATTAGTCTTAAGTCTAGACAGTCCCCATAATGTTAATCATTTGACTTTAGATATGAGATTACAATACCAGAGAAATCAGGAGAGATCAGATCAAAAAAGAAAAAGAAAATTCAGCTCAAACTTCAGGTAGAAACACATCTACTTTACAGCACATAATACATGCTCAGCTTAACTCCAGTAAGCGAGTTTAAAGAGTTTCATCTCCAAGAAGGTTGATTAAAGCCTAACCTAAAACTAAATACAAATTAACAACATCTGCTGCTTAATAGAAGCTAATGCTGTTCTGACATGATTTCAGTCAGTCTACATCAATAGTAAAACTTGTTTCTAACCAAAATTCCATCTCTTTAACGCTATTAGTTTCTAGGCCTAGCAGTCTGCAAAGAAGTCAGCTTTTGGAACCATTCAGCTATAAATTCTAGCTCTGGGATGCTAGTTTTGAGGTATCAGGCTTCTCCCTCTTCCCTTCCTCCACCACAACAGAGGCCAAAGCCACAGTTTCTGCTGGAATGCACAGATGCCAGTCCTGCACTGGATAACCGGCTACTCAAGCTGAAAACTCAAGGTCAGGAGGAGAGCCAGCAACACAATTCTAGCAACAGAGGTAAGAGTTTTCCCTTATGAAGGGAGGAAAGGCTAGAGGACTGCAAATTTCACAAAAATAAGAGGTTCATTGAAAAAAGTTGGATAAAAAAATCACATTTACTTTAAACTGGACCAAACAAGCACTAGTCTATTTGTGCTATAGCTTACACCAGCCTTCCTACAGAGAAAATTTCTGGATAAAAATTCTTCAGGGGATTACACTGTAAAGATGTGAGCACAGGCATGAGGCCGGCAAGGAGCTACTTGAGTTTATCCACTACTGTGCTTCAACAGGTCTTTGTGCTGAATCTTTGACCTTCCAGGCACATTCAGTGGCACTATAGGCACCAGCATGAGTTTGTGAGGAAAATCTAGGTATTCAAGCAGCTTATCTGGTAAAAAGCACTACCATCATTGAGGAGTCAGGTAACTCCTGCAGGAAAACTCCAGCAATTAAGTCCCTTCTGGAGAGGAAGTGTTTGTTCCCCGCTCTGTTTTATGCAAATTCTGACTTTGCCTTAAGTATTATCAGACTTTTTATGTAGCAGATGGATTAATAGCTCCACTACTGCCTGTCCCTGTCTGTTTGCTTATTTTTGTAATGTCAGCAGCATATGGCAGGTTACACATAGTTTCACAAGCCCCCATTGAAGAAGCAAACTGGCTCAGTCTCTATCTCGGAGCAGTGTGGGACCCTCCTTCCAGCTCTGCACCTGTTCTTTTAATCCAGTGGGAACCCCACCAACAAAATGGCACAAATGGGTCCTACAGACAGCACTAACGCCACTACTCGAAATTCAGTAGTAACTGGTGTAAAGACACGTGAAACACACATTAAAACTGGTGTTAACAGAGAGCGAAGTCAGGCCTAGTCTTTCTACTTCAGGAGGAATTTTGCTACTGATGGCAACACATCTCATATATAATAAATATTAACATAAGCAACTTAACATTAAAACAGCTATTCTAGAACTGAACAAACTGACAAGATGAACTGGTTTTACTGCTATCTGTTGACACCTGCCTGCACCAAGTGTTGGTACTTTCAGAAGTTCTGAATTTCCCTTCTCTCATGAAAATGTGCTTCATTATGTTCTTTCCCCCACAACAGTGAGACTGGAGGTTACCAGCATAACTTCTTTGGTGAGAATAAAATAACTATGGCAAATTTTCCCAAACTTTGTTTCACTAATAATATATAACCACTACATTGCTGCTTAAATGCATTTCCATTAAGGTGCCTGACAGACAGTTTTGATCATGTAACATATAACTGTAATTGGTGACATTCTGAAGTCTTCCATGAACGTCTGTTTTGGCTTCTTGACTTTAAAATGGTAAAATGTACACACTTGTAAATGCATGACACAAAAAGAAATAAATATGGAAAAACAAATCAAGACCATCAGGAAAAAAACTACCATTAGCAAATGAAAACAAATAAGACTTTGATTTACAAAAAGTTGGTCATTTGATATTAAAAAGCAGAGGGCTGAAGGTAATTCTACAGCGAATGTGAAGTTTTCCAAACATTTCATAGTTTTAGTACTGAAGTGTAGTTGAGCTGACATGGTATAATTAGAGTCTCTTTTTATCTGTTTACATACTGGGCAGGAACTCCCTTAGTTTGTCCTATACTGGACTGTTTAAATAACACCCTCATGTATTATGAATAAATTTAAGCCCTTCTTTTTCCTTCGAGCATACATATTATTCAGTTACTAACACATGTATAGGTAACTGTCTCTTGACCCTTGATTTTGTTACGAACAGAGGACTAAAACTAATTCCCATTCTTTTAAGAGGCAATTTTACTCAGCATTGGTTGTGAAACTACTTTTTTTTTCTTGCTCATAAATTTAAGGCCATATAAATTCTTAAAAACTGGAAACTGATTATGTAACACCACAAACCAGGGCAGAGACCTAGACAGAAGTAACGCTACCAAGATCTGGAATTACAGAGAACACTAGGATTTGACATACCTGTTTGAAGGTCTCCTTGTAAGCAAATAGCTGCCAAGTTGGGCCTAAACACAAGGGCTGTGGGTTTGTTTGTTTTGTTTGGTGTTTTTTGTTGTTGTTTTGTATTTTAAACAGTTTTGTTTTCACTTGGGCAATATGAAATGACCTACTTGTAGCTGATCCATATGAGGAGAGCCAAACCATTCATCCTTGCTTCCCACCTACAGGCATGCCAAAACACACCTTGTAACAGTGCAAGCTTGGCGAAATTCTGTAGGGAACCACATACCACAACCAGCATAAGCCTGGTTTACTCTGTGGTTCTGCCACTTTCTGCTGTGTATGTTTGTCTCCTATATTGAGGAGGGAAAAGACTAAGACTCATTATATTGAAAATATGCAGGATTATACTCTAAGTCTTCTTTGAAACAAGTGGTACTTGGTGTTACACACCAGAAAGATAAAGCCTTCTCGGTCCACCACTAAGTTTGTTTTGCTTGTTCTGTAATATTAATGCATGCCAGGGGTTAAAAGATTATGTACAGAAACAGAAAAGTGCAGTAAGAGCAAACAATCTCAATTATAATGCATGAGGCTTCTGAGAGTTTCATGAATTCAAAAGCAGTAAAACGTTTATTAGAAGAACCTGAAATAAAAACAGAAGAGGGCAATATGGATTATAACTGACTTTTAACCCTCTTAAGTGTAACAAGCAATGCAGCAAGGGCCTTCTATAGCCACCTGAGAACTTCTGCATTAGAGAGGGCAGGAATACAATCCCATGTTCCTAAAACTTACTAATTTATTTGAATTACTAATGAATTTGCTTTGTAAATCACAATTTACTACCCAGTTTTAGAATGTTTTAGAATATAGCAAGTATCTAAACCTAAATTAACAGTAAGAAGAAATTATGATCAGAAATTCTAAAGGACATGCCATGAAAAGGACAACTAAACAATGCTTTTTGCTTCTTTTGTTGTGAAGTTGAAGTATGAATTTGTTTTAGTAGAAAACAATTAATATGGTGAATACTGAACAGACATGGACAATTCAAGGTACGAGTGACTGTAGATGACACTCACCTGTAAACAATTCTCTCCTTCTGCAAATCCTCCAGACCACAGCACAGTTCTGCAGCATAGAAAATAGCCCTTTCTTCATCAAAGCCAGGATTTCCCATGTTATATATGTGAAACTTCAAATCCCCTCCATTCATTATGGTTAGTACTAAACACAGGGCGTCTTTCGTCTCATATGTATAGGATAAACTAACCTAGAAATGGGGCAAAGGAGAAGAAAATAATTATTCATTCATAAACCCCAACACAATTCACAGCTCTTTTTTTCCAATACAAGCAACATATGAATCAGTTTTTAAAACAAAAGAGAACAAAACAGCCGAGTAGAGAATCGCTTCTGTCCAGTACTTGAAGACACAAAGAAATTCAGACTAATTTGCACGTATACACAAACCCTACATCACCGTACACGTTTAGTGACATATCTGTTTAGATAGCATAGAGCTCCATCCAGACAGATTTATTGATCATGCCCCTCAGCTGCAAGTTATCCATATTACTCTTTGCAAAGACAACGTGCACATACACCTTATTTGATTAATACCTCAGGAATTATGCATTGCCAAACCATCTTCCTGAACTTATGCAAGACTCTAAGTTGCCTTCTGTTAGTGAAACTAAAGAAGTTACTGAAGATCAAATGTGTAGTTTCTATTCCTCCCTCTGCCTTCCTGCATAACTGCATATTTCCTTGGCTTAGAACTTGCCAACAGTGAAGACTTAGTATAGCTCTTTATATTCCTTCTTCTCACTGTATTTGGAATGAGGTGCTGATAGAGAAGCATTACAAGTTTTAGGTAAATGTTTTTAAAGTATTAAAGCAGACTTGTGAATTTAAAGAAAACCAATTATAGAAAAATGTAATATACTGCAAAATTTAACATATGTTGTTTAAGTTACAAACTCCATCTCAGTAGAAAAAGCTATGCTATGCTGATGATCATCTGGCAGGATCTTCAAAATTACCTACTGAGATTAACTAATTTGTACTGAAAGCAATGGGATTAAAACATACTTACCTAATGGAAGTTAAGTATAAGGTAGGTAAAAATCAGTAGGAGTTTTTTTTTTTCTCAGTAAATATATTTCTAAATGCAGTACAACTATGTAACCTCAGTACTAAGTCAAAACTCTTCCTTCTGAAGCATAATTCCAATACTAAATAATAAAATTAAATAAATACACAAATCAGCTACTCAGGGCAAGGGTTCTTATTTGGTGGTTTAAACTGACCTGTCCAGCTATTAATGAATTCACTTGTGACACAAGCACGACAAATTTCTACCCACCTCCTACCCAATATTACTGCAGATCCTAGATCTAGATCTTTTCTGTCGCATCAAAAAAACTGGATGGCAAGAGGAAAATAACTTATGCTCAATCCTATAAAGTGATTTCAAATCCAACTTTGATCTATTACTGATTTATACTATTTACATGACTGAAAAAAGTACTACTCAAAAACAGAAGTTTCACTCTTATCTCATGTATCTCTACAACCAGTGATTTGTTGATCAGTTCAGGTAATTTCTGGATTCAATTTCAATCAATTCAAGCCCATGTGCCTTGTGAGAAAATAACATTAGCACGGTTATACAAAAGCACTATTTATAATAATTTCAAATACATTAATGTATCTGGCCAGCAGGTTCTTAATTTTTCTTTTAGCTAGCAGTATTCTACAGGGTTTTTGCAATACATAAAGCTTATCAGAAAATATTGTAGCTACATACATATTTTATAAATATGTGTGTGTATATATATTTATATATTTATTTATTTAGTTATTAATAACTTCCACTACCCTCTAGCACAGGTACTTTGAAATCCTATCTGATCAGAAATACAGTTACCAGTAAATGGATTTAAAAACAAATCTAAATGCATTCAAAATTAACATTTAAGTGACAACAGTTCAATGAAAAAAATACACATTACCTGGGGGAAAGTTTACCTTGTATATCCTTGATCATTCTAAGTTATTTCACTGCTTAGTAATTAGAGCTACTAACAGACCATAATTTACATGACAGTATCAGATTAAACCATTAAGACTTTAATTCTCTATAATTTCTATTAAAAGTTACGCTGTTTCACATCCAAGATACCTCTTTAAGCCTCTTTATAACTAACCTGGATCAATATACTAGTCAAATTTCATGTTTAACTTGAAATGTATATGCAAGAGTAATGAATGCTGTGTAAATACCTAAGGATATAAAAACTCTACTATTAAAAATCATAGAAATGCAGGACGTGCAACTTCTAATAGAAATTAAATGGCAAAGTCTCGCAAAATCACCCCTTTGTAAGTGCATTTAAGAATGACCTTCAAAAATGAAATTAGAAATCAGCAATAATTATAAGAAAACAGGTGTACAGAAGGGAAGAAGGAGGTAATAGAAGAAAACAGAGCACAATGCACTGAAAGAAGAGACAGAGAAGAGAAACAGAAGAAAAAATAGGATAGAATAAAGTATATGGAATACCCTCTTTATTAAACATAGGCAAACATACTCAGTCATAGGGCGCAGCAGAAACAGAATTTAAGTGATTATTCCAGTCTGAGTACTACAGAACAATCTTGAGACAGAGGACAAAGATTCAGTGGAATCAGCATGCTGAAACACAACCTAACGTTTTGGTTCTAAGTGAGAAATAAAGCAGGCAGACTAAGACCAATTCAGTACTGCACAAAAAAGCCCTCTGCATAGAACTTCTCACAATCACACACAAAACATACTTCTTATTCTATCAGTCATTTATCTCAGCAGTCATGCATTCTCTGAATCAATTTTAAAATGTCATGTGCCCACAAGCTCCTGGAAGAGACAGAAATGAAGCAAAAAAAGCAAGATAAACTTCTGAGAATAAGATCATAAGTAGATACTTACTACAAACCTACTATTCACTTTCTCTAGAATTCTTTTTTCATTTAGAGCCATTGATTCTCCTTTCCTCTTCTTTATTCTCTTTTTTTCTAGCTTTTTACAAGCATACATTTTTCCTGTTGCCCGTACTTGACAGGCACACACCTTAAAAAAAAAAAAAGGTGTGTCAGAGATCTTAGGGGATTTTTAGATTTATTTTTTTTAGGAAGATAGAATTTTATTTTCTTTTTTTTCACACTCTTGAGTATTCTCAGAAAATGAAGGTCTGTAAGCATCAATACAGAGCTTTTACCCATTTAACAACTTTGAAGGGTCAAAAAAGCTGTAACAGAAGTAGAAGTGATTATACAGGAGTGAGCCTGTTTTTGTTGGTGTTGAGTAGTTCAGTAAGACTGTGGATCTTGTGTTGGTGAAACGCCTGACTGTGATGACAGTATATGTCTAGGCAAGCAGGACAGAGGACAAACATTCACACCATAATCAAGCGTGAGAAAGATAATGATCATTTAATAACCCTCCTTCCCCTTCAATATAGGACTCTGGTTAAAGCATTTAGGGGGCAAAAAACCCCAATGAATTATAAACAGAATGAACAAAATCTATAGATTTTCCTATCAGGTTCACAAATATTCTACATAATTATTAAGTAGAAACTACATTCTCATTGCCAAATTAAATTTCTAAAGAGAAGAACTGTGGAAGTTTGCTCCAACTTTGTCCACGACCCACAATACTGAAACTAACACACTAAAAGAAAACAGTTTAGATTGATGACAGTTTGACTGGTGATGTGTCAAATGTAGATTGTTAGAGTCAAGAGTTTAAAAACTGTTCCTCCTCTGTATTAATCTTTTTTTTGTTTTCTTAAACATTGCCTCGTAGAAATATACTTCTGTACTCACCTCTCCAAATCCACCTTTGCCTAGTACTCGGTAATGCCTAAATGTGTGTTTGGTTACTGGTTGCCTGATTAACAGAAAGAAACAATTATTGCAACAGGAATGATAAGAGATAGTAATCCCCTCCCCACCCCAAGGTCTGTCTGAATTTTCTTCTTCCTGTTCTATGACATCTTACTGAACAAGAGTTGCCTTGACCTCATGAAGACAGTATTATAATAAGCTGAATTCCAAATGAAAAGGGTGGTCTGACAAGAACCATTGGCTCCCTCATGTGGTCGCCAGACGTTGAAAATAGCAGGAAGAAAAGCTGATCCATTTGGCCCTGTGCTGTTTATGGTCAGAGCTTTATCTGTTCTCATCAACGGTCAATTTAGCACCTCCAGTTGTCTCCCTTAGCTGCAGTACACTGCCAGCTGCCACATAGGCTGCGCTTTAACAAGAACACGCTTGCAATGCAGCATTTAAAAGGTAAACCATTTCTGATTTTGCTTTGCTGTTTGGCTTTTCCAAAAAAAGAAAGAGTTGTGGTATGTAACAGCATTTCAGAGCCAAATTGTTAAGGCGTTGATGTACCGGAAGAGGAACAGATAACTGGAGGCAGTAAAAGTGTCAGCCATTCTACGCAAAAACAGTCCTAAACATGTATCAAAGCAGGGCTATTTCATGGTGATGAGCTGGGTTTTTTTTTATTGTTTTAAAAGAGCATTCATTGCTAACGCAGCTTTGTTCTCAGGACAACAAATGGAGGTTCATTTGGTAGAGAATTCTGTTTAATTGAGTAACTTCCCTAGTTCTCTTCCTGGCTTTTGCTACTAATTCAGTCAAAGGCACTGGATAATATGGATAATAGGAATTTACCATAAATTAATGCTCAAGCACCTTAATGTTTGAATATGTCACAATGATACACAGCAGTGCTGAATTAGAATCAATTTGTACCAATTTCAGCCTTCTGAAAAAGTTTGGACACTCATTTAGTATTGATTTAAAAGCCTAAACTAGATCCTGATATATACAAATATTGCTGCCTTGTAAGTACTAGATCTGTGTCTGTACCACCCTGAAAACTGACTAGTTACCCAGTCACCCAGTGGGTTATAAAACTAGACTAACCTGCTTATTAGCCACTAACTAGACCAAGTTTGAAACTAAGGAATAGCATTCCCAAGCAAGATTGGTTTCTCAACACACAGTTGACAGCCAAACTTAAAATAAATTTGCATTTACCTAATACAGATTTACCACTTAAAGACTCCTGGACATATACTTCTGTTGCAGTATTGGCTCTCTCACTGTCCTATCAACATCATCCTTTACATCCTGTCTTTTAGATCATAATTTCATAGACAGGTAGTGTCATTCATTAGGGCTCTAGAGCATTTCTAGCATAACAAGCAGAACTGGCCACAAAGCAAAGCAAAATTATAATGCAAACATTATAAATAAACTTACTTTTCCAGCCATTTCCACTGTAAAAAACGGGAAAAATACACACTGTCTTGGTAAGCGTCAAAAGGTCTTTTGCTTAGGTATTCATGTACAATTCTAGAAATGGGAAAATAAAATCAATCTTATACTGAAAAAACTGCTGAGACAGGAAGTATCATCAATCTATTAAAATATACTAAAACAAATCAATGAAGGTATAGGCAGAAAAACATTGTCACTGTGTTGTACAATGGTTTTAACCTAGATGTCTCACAAAGTGCCTGTCACAGACAATTCTTCCTGTCAAAACACTAGTGAATGCCAAACTACTGCTACTCCCAGTAACTAGAAAGTTTGACCTCTGCCTTCTCATTAAGTGCGTTCAAGTCTACCTAAACAGCAGCCTCTCAGCAGCTACGCAATGCATGTATCACCCCTTAAATATGACCTCTAAAAGTTATTTACAGGAAGGTATGTACAAGTTTTCATACAGAAATAGTCTGTGAGATTACAGAACGGTTGAGGTTGGAAGGGACCTCTGGAGGTCATCTGGTCCAACCCTCTGCTCAAGCAGGGCCACCTACAGATGGTTCCCCAGGACCACGACCAAGTGGCTTTTGAAGATGTCCAAGGATGGAGACTCCACAAGCTGTCTGGGCAACCTGTGCTAGTGCTTGGTCACCCTCACAGAGAAAAAGTGTTTCCTGATGTTCAGAAGGAGTCTCCTGTGTTACGCTTTTCACCCATTGCCTCTGGTCCTGTCATTGGGCACCACTGAAAAGACCCTGGCTCCATCCTCTTAGCACCCCCTTTTCAGGTTATTTATATACATGGATAAGATCTCCACATAGATTCTTTGGAGACTGATAAGTACAATTTTATTCTAGGATTTTAAATTGAAATACTAAATGCCATATCAAAACCCAAACACCAGGTACCTTATCATTCCCCTTAAATTAAATACACCAAGGGGGGTGGGGGAAGGAAAACAATTCAAACTGTATTCAGATATTTAATGGACAGAGGAAAGGGGATGACCTACATAACAAATCCTCCATTTGAGACAAGTTTTACTAGGTGTTCTCACACATCCCTTTCAATCTTATAGTCTCAAGTTGTTATAAAGTATGCTTGTTTTTGTTGCCAGGGAGATGACCCAAGCAGTGACAAAACCTGTTGTAATCCTTCAGACATGATCAAGCGTGCCTTGAAGAACCAGTAATATTAGAAACATAAAGGCTTTAGAAAAACATGCAACACTGGTAAACATGTATCATGCCTCCAAGAAAAGACTTCCCTGCTGCTGCTGTGTGAAATATCACTTCATGACTTCAGAACAAAACCAAGTTGTACTTGTTTGTGTTAACTAACACAACTGATCCAGAATCAGCCATCGTAATGAAATACAATTGTTGGCCTCAGTTCAACCTGTTCTCCAGAATCATACATTGTTCAGAAACCTTTCAAGCCCAGTTTATAATTTCATGTTTTTCTAAGGACCTTCATCACGGAAGAGAAGTAACTCAAAAGGTATGAAAATAATGAAGAAAAATGCTATTCTTGCTTAAAGAATGCTTGGTGGCAGATAATAGCGTGATTTTAGGAAAAAATAGCATTAAAGAAAAAGCTCTGCAAAAGTCAAACATCTACATCACATCTGAAGGAAAACCAGTCCATTCATAAATCTGTTCCAAATTTCTTACCTACACTCAGAGACTAAATACTCCCAGGTGTAATAACTTCACCTCTCCTTTCCATTGGAAAAACACACATTTCTCTTGTGATACTCAGACTCACACTATGCATTTTTAGCTTACCTAGTACAGTCCATGAAAAGATCCTTAGAAGGGTTCTTTTCCAGTCGTGCTTTACATTCATTTACTGTTTCCTGAGGTATTTCTGGCAAGTGTGCTGCAGACTTTACATAATTTAAAAAAACAAACAAACAAACAAAAATTGCAACAATGAAAGCAATTTTGCTAATCAACAGAACGAGTAAAAGTTCTGTACTCAAAGTGAAATGAAATCTGCTAATAGAGGAAAAGGAAAGGAATGGTTTGGCTACAGAGAAAACTAAGAAAGTAACATTCAAGCAAAATTTTTATTTGTTGCCTGTTACAGAAAAATGCATTGAAAGCTATTACAGTTATTTACTATTTCAGTATCCAGGGAAACAAACTTGGCAATAAGTAAAATTTCTTTATCTTTCCATAAGTCTACCACCACAAAAGCAAGTTCTCTATTTGGCTTGGCAGGATGGAAGGAAGGGGAAAGAAACACACACACAATTTGGGAAACTATTTCAAACCAGCCCAAAGAAATCCAGGTTTTTTTTGCAAAAAAGTGCATGTGGCTTATGGTGGTCCCAAAGAAATTATCAGAAAAAAATGTGGCAAACTTGAAGTCTGTCTGCTTTTAACGCAGATCTGCAAGACATTTATTTGAAGAAAAGCCTACTCAAGATGACCAAAGTAAGAGAAGCAGAAGGAGCATCTATTCAGAGGAAGCAAATGTCTAATTCTGTATCCAAAGAAAATCTTCTATCAGATACCAAATAACAGGCTCTTAAAAAAATTCAATCAGTGAGATCTAACATATGCAAAAGATCGGCTATGAATGATCTCCATGCAAAATACATAGTAACAGAATTCTCTAGAACAAAACAAAACAGTATTTCACCTTGTGAAAACCTGCAGCAATTCTGAAAATTTTCAGCAAACCAACCAATGCCACACAGAAAGAAGCCTGAGAATTTGAAGAGTTACTCACTCTCATGTTTTTAGACTATACAACTCTGAGTTAATTTGTTAGGGAGTTTTCTTTAGATGCTAAATGTGTTTTTTTAGAAATATATCTTTACCTGAGTCCAATATTTTAATTGGAAAACATGGGAGAATAAATCGTAATGGTAGTAGTCTTAAAAGCAGAGATCAGTGAAGCTTTCTGCTCAAGGTGATGAGTTTCACAATTTTAGAAGGCAGTAGACCTTTCAGAAAGGCAAAAATGGGACTAAGGAAGTTTGAAAGTCAATTTACAAAAAACAATGCGACCACTCAGATCTCTATTTATCTGGCATTTACAAAACACATGAGACAATATTTTGCAATATAATATATTTACCCCATTAGTGAAGTATGTCTCTAGAACTTTCAGGCCACAGTCAATACGCTTTTCATCTGAAGATACCTCATATTCTGCCTAGGGGAATGGATTTGAAAATGATATTAAGTTCAGAGCTATTTGCCAATACAGTCTTACATGATGCTAGGTAAATTTAATCATGAATAACACAATGGTCATACTATAAAAGGAACTGAAGGCTCTCATTGTTTAAAAGATAAAAAAAATTTTAGGCTACTTAGTGAAAATGTATGAAGAACAGTCTTAAGAAAAAGGCACATGGAATTCAACCATGGTAAAAAAAGCCAAGATTTAGTCTAAATGTAATTACAGAAACTGCATCCTAGAGGTTCAACTGGATCAATTACAGTGAAATATTGGGTTAGCCAAAACTTAATTGCATGGTTTTTTAATAGATAGACATACATGTCTTGAAATGTAACTAACTTCACACTGGTGGAAGCTCATAAAAAGTTATGTGATGTGTGTGGTGAAGATGCCTCAAACCTATGGCAGTGTCAGATATAGTTTGCTACATTTCAGTCCGGAGATTTTGATGATGAAGATGCATCACGCTCAGGAAGGCCAATCAAAGTTGATAAGGACAAAATAAAGGCATTGATCAACTCCAGTTGGAATTTAACAACATAGCTGATAATCTTCATATACTGAAATTGAGCACTGACAACCATTTAAAATAACTTGGATATGTTAGGAAGCTTGATATTTGGGTACCACATGAGATCAAAGAAATCCATCTCACTAAACGCATGGACATCTGCGATTCTCTCTTGAAACATGAAGAAAATGTTCCATTTTTGAAGCATATGATAACAGGTGATGAAAAATTATTCATCTACAGGAACAACAAATGAAGAAGATCATGGAGCAAGTGTGATGAACCAGCTCAAAGCACTTCAAAAGCAGATATTCCCCAAAGGAAGGTTCTGCTGTCAGTCTGGTGGGAGTTCAAAGGTATTGTGTATTTTGCACTGCTTCCAAGGAACCAAACCATTAATTTGGACGTGTACTGTTGTCAACTGAATAAATCACATGATGCCATCAAACAAAAGGGTCCAGAATTGGTGAATCGCAAAGGTGTGTTTCTCCATTATAATGCTAGACCACAGACAAGTTTGGCCACTCGTCAAAAATTGTAGCAGCTTGGATGGGATGTGTTACCACATCCACCAGATTCACCAGACCTGGCACCATCAGACTGCCATTTGTTTCGTTCTTTACAAAATACCTTGAATGGTAAAACCTTCACAGCTGATAAGGAAATCAAATCGTTCTTGGAACTGTTCTTTGCCAAAAAAGATAAGAACGTTTTTGAGTGCAGAATCATGAAGTTGCCTGAAAGATGGCAAAAGGCAATTGAACAAAATGGACACTGTACTGGTTAATACAGTTTGTTTCCCGTTAAAAATTCACCTTTAATTTACCCAGAACGAAACGCAATGGCTTTTTGGGCAACCCAATAGTATTTAAGTAGTATCACAGGACAGAATGATCCAGATGGGAAATAATTAAGCAAGACTACAATAATCAGCTGCTTCTTCACTGTATTTTTTTTTATCCTTCTTGTATATTTCTTTACTACAGTCTTGGGTAAAACCAGGATAAAACTACTACTTTCTACAAGGTCATGTTAACTGGAAATAAGCACGATCTAAACCAAACTCTACTTCATTCTTTGAGAAGATAAAAACTGAGTAGATACAAAATTTTGTGAAGTTTTTGTCTCAGTAATATCTAGTGTTGAGATGCAGAAAAAGACGATTGTGTAATACAGTGCATTTTGCAGATAAACAACTGGCAGCTTAATAGAGCTTCAGAGGGGGAAAAAAAACAATCCAAACAAAACTAAACCAAACTGTCAGGTACTGAAAAACTCCAAGGACTAAAGGACTACTTACTATTACAGTTTTTAAGGAATAATCTAGAAGCAGTTATCAGAAGTTAGAACATTTAAAGGTAACACAGAATCTCAGGAAAGAAGAAGTAGAAAAGAGCAATCTCAAACAGCAACCTTTATTAGCTCTGTAAGCTGGGCCAACTCAATCAAAGCTTATTTCATATCTCAGAATGTAAATGCATGCACCTAGGAACAAGGCAGACCTCCAGAACTGAAAACCGTATGACACAAACCAACAGTTTGGCATATTGGGACAACAGTCATTAAGAACCTCAAAGGAAGTTCCATGTGATTTATCTAAGCAGAAGAGAAAGTTACATATCTTTATAAAGAAAAGAGCAACGGTGAAAAATGACAGTTCAAGAACCAAACAGACACACACACAATACTGGAAATAACAGAATCCCTGAGCTCCAGTTCTGCAGTCAACTGCAGCTAACCCACACTGACTCACTGCTAAGTCATCAACATCTTTTTCTGCTGAGACATTAGGGTATCAACCACTTCAGCACAGGACTCAAATCCATAAACAATTGCAAGCCGTTGTTTTTGCTGTTTTAATTCCACAACAATGAGTCTAATGGTAAGGAAATTCTTCTGCAACTACCAAACAACCTGAGCAGGTCAGAAAAGTTAATCAACCAGCTAAGTGCATTTACCACCTTTAACATTTTCAATTATGCCAAAGTAGTCACCCATTTAATACTAACAGTTAGGCATACTGTTTTAAGGGGATGCTGTAATTTAAAAGGAAGTTTAAGGGACAGCCTTGTCAACTACTTTTGGTTACTTACAGAGCTTAAGAGGGAAGTTTGAGCCCCACTCTTTTTCATACTTGAGTAACCTTGTCCCCAGCTAGTGAAATGAGTCACTAAGATGATTGGATAACTGTAATTCCTCACTTTAATTTCTGTCAATTTTATTCAATTATTTCACAACTCTTCTTTCTGTAAAGCCAAGCTGACTCCAGACTTGAAGGTCACACCTTCTCAAGAGTTAATGCTTACCAGTCTTAGTACTCAGTACGGGTAGACAACCTAGCACTGTATTACCTTGATTTTGCCATTTTGCGCCCTTGAAATAATCATGCTGCTGAAATCAGATTGTTCCATTTAAGAGAGTCAGAAAACTCTTTTAATCAAGATGCAAGGCTCTTAAGACTATGGCATTTTATGCCAGAAGGGTTATTTTCAGAAAGAATACATCTAAAAAATATCTACAATAAATACATAAATAAACACAATAAATAAATAAAACCCCTAAAAATTGGCAAAACCCGAGATAAAATCCTTAGCCTTTCCCTTCACATTACTCCCGTACAAATAAAATCAACAAAAAACTCCTCAACTCCCCCCCAACTCTAAAAAAAAAGCTTGAGCAAGCTTAGTTAAACCCAGTCCAGAAAAGGGAATCAGGCTAATTCAGGAACTACCTGTAAGAGGTAGCAGATATTTTCTCTTACTTCCATGATGGTGTGCTAGCTTTGAGAACATCAGAATCACCGACCACAGATTATCTTAGCTCTTACGAGAGTCCTCTTTCAGAGATTCCCAAGCATACTTCTTCACCATGATTTTTCAAATGGAAGTTAAAAATAAAAAAAAGACGATTGTGAAATCATTCCTTACATCAGATTATCTCAACTATGACAGCCTTTGCTAACTCACAGAAGTGTTGCAATCCACATAACATTATAGGTTACATATTTCAAAACTATTCAAAACTTTCAGTTGGTGTAAAAAAATTCTTGGAGACAATTTCACCTGAAAAATGACATCTGTAGAGCACAGACACGCCTACCTTACACTTACACCTAAGATTTTTTTTCTTCTTTGTGCTGCCTAAGATTCTGCTACTCCTTTTCTAAGCTTTTAAGGATTAAAAATGTGCACAGAAGTTGCAACCATTAAGGGTACATCCACAGTTGTCAGTGGTCTCCCCATTGTGCCCCATTCATTAAAGGCTCTGGTTTACATTCACATCAGCATATTTGGCTACACTGTTCTGGATTTCCACTCACTCCATTCTATGCCTCCAACTGTCAAACTGGTCTTTGGCATTTGGTGCTGGAACAGCTCCTGAGAGCTGCAGAGGTATGGTGAAACCCACCTGGGGAGTAAGCCTAATTGCGCAAAGATTCGTTGACAAATATAAGGCAATTCTACGTATTGGACACTAAAGCTCCTTTTTAGCTGATCAAGTGCCTCAGTTTATACTCCCATAGGAACAAGGAAGATAAGGTGAAGTGCAGGGCACAGTAATAATCCCCATGTACTTCCTTTCACTCTGCACACTTCAGAGCCATCTTGCATTCTGAGACTGTATTTTGCGACACGTGTAAGCAGAACCGTAATTTGACCATCTTCTTTGGTCATTTGTTGCCTGATGCCTGAATATATGAACAAAAATGGGTGGGTGAGGAAAACTGTTCTTTTGGCAACAGTCTGTTTAACACTACATCTTACTGTGCTTGCATTAACTATGAGGTACAAAGAATAAAAAGCTCTGAGCTATTATTCTGTCCTCTCCAAGGACTTCTGTGTGTCTGTCCACTCTTATCATTACTTTCTCCCTCCTCATGAGGGTTTTGTCTGAGGTTTTTTCACAAAACATGGCTGCGGGCACACTTCCTTCCTCCCCTCATTCTTTAGTATTAGATACCAAGATGCAAATGTATCAAGACAATACACTTCCTTTTCCTTTGGTGTCTAAAATCTGGTTTCTCTCCTTCCATAGACAGCTCCCTAAATTTCCATCTCCATTGTCTTTGTTTTTAATCAGCACATTCTGTCTAGCCTAGGGCTTTGATGCAAGTTGCAACATTTTCAAGTCTGTGTTTACAACATTTTCAAGTCTGAGTATCATAAGTAATATTCATTGTATGCACATCCTTTTAGGTTCAGTAGAAGTCAAGCAGCATGTCTTTCTAAAATCACTTCTCTTATTCCCATCATGACCATTTCCATAGCTCTGACCACACCAAGATGGCAGAGATTTTATAGTAAATATTAAACATCTTCCTTTAAGTAACAGAACCAGAGTTTCTTGACATTGATCAAAAGTTACAGCTTTAGAGTTGGCAAAAAGTAAATCTCAATATATTTTCATGGATGCAGCATTAGTGCACAGATGTGCTTAGAGAAAATGGGTATTGTATAAAATTGTTGTGTGCTGACCAGGATAGGCAGCTGAGTTCCATAAAGCCACTTGCTCAGTCCCTCCCCCGCAGTGATAATCAGAAGGGTAGAAGTGAGAAAACTTGTGGGTAGAGAGAAAGACAGTTTAGAAGGTAAAGCAAAGCTGTACAAAATAAGGAATTCATTCACTTCTTCCCATTAGCAGGCAGATGTTTAGCCATTTTCAGGAAAGCAGGGCTTTATCACACGTAACAGCTCCTTGGCAAGACAAACACCACAACTCTGACTTCCCCCATTCTTTCTTCTTCCCCCAGCTTTATATGCTGAGCATGATGTTATATGACACAGAACATCCCTTTAGTCAGATGGGGTCAGCTGCACTGGCTGTGTCCCCTCCCTACTTCTCATGCACCCCCAGCCCCCACTGGTGGGCTAGCATGAGAAACGTAGAAGGCGGTGTAATCACTGTTCAGCAATAACTAAAACATCCTTCTTATCAACACAGTTTTGGTCAAAAATCCAAAACATAGCACAGCATGAGCTACAATGAAGATAATTAACTCCATCCCAGCCAAAACCAGTACAAAAATCAAACTTTTTTACAAACAAAAATGTATAAGCTATTGCCTACTGATATCCATCTCCAATTTCTCAACGCTTACCACTGCATCCAGAAATTCAATGCATCTTTTCAAATCTGGTCTGGAATCACAGAACTGTCTGAAGAGAAGCCTTCCTATCGGCTGTTTATCACAAAGTTGATAATAGTCTCTTTCTGAGAAAGAAAGAACAAATAAATACCTTTATTTTTATCCTTGTCATAGCATGGTCCTTACTCCCATTTGGGAATAGGTCAGAAAAACATCACTAAGATGTGAAGATTTTAGATTAATTTATTTAGCAAAGACATCAAAAACATGCAATGATCCCAAAGACCAGTGAAACACACTCTTCTAGCCACATTTGTCTCTTATAGACTACCACATTTATTAAAAACACATCAGTTAAGTTTCATTTAGGTTGGAGGGTGGAAAGCAACAATACTGTGAAATAGCAATCCCAAAGCACACAAGATTGTTAGGAAAGAAGGAATAAAAGATAATATCAGAAAAAGTTAAAAAATTATTACAAGACATTAAGGAAAAAAGTGAAATATATCACCATGTCATTCAAATTACAACATGATTCTTTTTTCTAATTCGTAGCTTTGTAAATTTATCCTTTAGGAGCAGTTTCCTTTAGAAAACAAGGAGCTTTTATCTTCTCATAAATTTATCTTCTCATAATTCTTCATCACATTAAAAGTGTAATAGCTTCTGTTGTTAATTAGCACTCAGAAGCAAGACAGAATCCTTTCAGTTAACACCACTAAACTCTTACCCTTCTTTCTCAAAAAAATAGGAAAGACCATTCTACAGGACACCTACCAATTGAGCATCTAATACCTTCACAGTGACTAACAGGTGGCAATTTCAGCATCTCTCTCCATTTTTTACTACGCCCACTCCGTTTGCCTAGAAGAAAAATATGCATAATGTAACACACAATACCATGTCAGAATAAAATTAAACATGACATCAACAGCATAAAATTAGGTCACTTCTGCACAGATCTGTCAGACCAATTTCCATGCCTAGAAAAAAACCCATCCTCAAGAATATCCAAACCAATAATAAACTTGATATAGAAGAACTTTTATATGAAACACTAAAAATGCAGAAAATCTTTTGCAAGACAAATATTTTGCATTTTGACTGTGCATACAGAATATATCTGTAGACAAGTATCTAGGTATTCTGAAAATCACAAAACTGAAACATCAAAGACAGAAACAAAAAATATTGAGATTTGTGTCTCAAGCATGGTGAAGAATGGAAGACATTTAAGTTCAGTAACAAAATCACAGAATGGTGGGGCTTGGAAAGGACCTCTGGAGATAATCTAGTCCAACTCCCCTGCCAAAGCCAGTTCACCTACAGCAGGTAGCACAGGAACGCGTCCAGGCGGGTTTTGAATGTCTCCAGAGGAGGAGACTCCACAACCTCTCTGGGCAGCCTGGTCCAGGGCTCTGTCACCCTCAAAGTAAAGAAGTTTTTCCTCATGTTCAGTTGGAACCTTCTGTGTCCCAGTCTGTGCTCATTGCCCCTTGTCCTGTCACAGGGCACCACTGGAAAGAGCCTGGCCCCCTTCTCTTGCCACCCATCCTCTAGATATTTATAAGCATTAATAAGATCCCCACTTGGTCTCCTCTTCTACCTGCTAAACAGACCCAGCTCTCTCAGTCTTTCCTCATATGGGAAATGCTCCAGACCCCTCATCATCCTTGTACCCCTCTGCTGGACTCCCTCCAGTAGCTCCATGTCTTTCTTGAACTGAGGAGCCCAGCACTGGACACAGTACTCCAGATGTGGTCTCACCAGGGCAGAGCAGAGGGGGAAAATAACCTCCCTTGACCTTCTGACACACTCTTCTTAATGCACCCCAGGATACCATTGGTGGTCTTGGCCACAAGAGCACGTTGCTGGCTCATGGTTAACTTGTCATCTACCAGGACTCCCAGGTCCTTCTCCACAGAGCTGCTTTCCAGCAAGTCATCCCCTAACCTATACTGGTGCATAGGGTTATTTCTCCCCAGGTGCAGGACCCTATGCTTGCATCTGTTGAACCTCATTCGGTTGCTCTCTGCCCAACTCTCTGGCCTGTGCAGATCTTGTTGAATGGCAGCACAGCCTTCTGGTGTATCAGCCACTCCTCCCAGTTTTGTATCATCAGCAAACTTGCCGAGTACGTAGAACAAAGTTCTTCAACACATTTCTAGATAATCAAGTCGTACATAAATATCTTTCTTTTTTTAAGGGCAGTAATAGTATATGAGTAGAGTGCACTAATTTATTAGTGGGCATTGCTCCAATATACACCATTCACCACAGGAGGATACAGGCTATCAGGAAGAACTAAGCTGTTGTAGAATTCAGATCTTTTCAATACTTCAGCTTTCACAGCACTAGCATTAAACTGATTTTAAAAACTACTACAGCATTTTTTCCATTGTTTCTCAAAAAATATATCTGTGCTCTGTTTTCTGAGCTTTCTTTGACCTGAAAAGCCAATTCCGCTTACAGAAGATATGCGTATTTATCAAAAAAGCACAAAGATAGATACAGGAACATACAGGTATTTTTAATTGCAAAACATTTCAGCGGAAGAGTAATTTTTGTACTGCAAAATATTTTAAAAGAAGATTTCACTAAGAGATATGGCCAGATGCGTTTCCACATGACAGAACAGTAGCAAAACTGCACAGAAACTTTCTAACTGTACCAAAGCAGTATGCACTGTTAACCACAATGGGAGAGAGAGAGGGGAAGGGAGTTACCCTGTGTAAACCGAATAGAAACCAAGCAGCAAACAGTGCTCAACTATTTCAGAATTAAATCGTTAGGGAGAAAGGAACTGACATCTTCAGAATAAAATACGTATGAAAAAACCCCACCTCTTCCCTCAAACATACACCTTCTTGCACTGTTCCACCATTGCAGTCGGAGCAGTTCCAGCTTAGCTCATACCAAATTTACATTATCTTTGCTAACAGTCACATTGACGTCTCACTGTGCTGTTGCAACAAAAACTTCTCAACTCCAGTATCACCAGAAAAGTAAACAAATAAGGCATACAAAACCTTAAAAAGACAGCTTGCAGAGATTCTTTGAACAAATATCTACTCTCTAAAAAACCTTCTTCTGCACTTTATTTCATAGCATTGCTTTCTAAGTCATTCTCCTTCCAAAATATTTTAGAACACAAATATATCAAAACTACTTCCCCAATACTTCATTCATGCAGTACCAGAACTAACAATGAAGCTGTAATTACCAGCATCATTCAAATACACCCCAACTACTTTAATAAAATAGCTTTTATGTTAAAAAGAAGTTTAACAAATGCTCGAAGAAAATGAAACAACACAGGGCAGAGATGCATTTCCAGCAGAACTGAACACAAAATCAAGAAATGCTAACGTAGATAGCCTGTGCACATCTATTGAATAGAAAAGGACTGGGTATGGATTATTGTGTGATCATGAAAAGCAAGGGACAGGAGCATCAACTGAATTTTTAACCATGCAACTGAAAATACACTGAGCTGCAAGGTCTGCAAATTAAAAACTATTCTGTTAGAAATTATTCAGAAAGACTCATTTGTGCATGACACAATACAATCAGTATTGACCAAGAATGATAATCTGACCCAAATTTGTTCCATAATGCTGTCTAGAAAATGTAAAACTGAACTGTGCTATACACCAAGTATATCATCTTCTGAAGTGCAAAGGAGAAAAAAAACAACAGACAACAAAAACCCAAACAAAGAAAAAAAAAGGATCACTCATGCACTATACTTCAAGTCCAACAAAAGAAAATCTGCTCTATCTGTTGTGATTCTGTGATTTTGCCCCAAATATTTGGCCAGTTACTTACAAGGTGACCAATATGAACTTCATTTTACAAAAAGATATCACATGCTAGAATGCAATCGAATGAACCACCTTACAGATGTCAATAAAGACTACATATAATTTATTAATGATACACAAGAATCAAGCGCTTAGGAGTATCAATTAAATCAACATGCTCTCTCTTTTCTCTGAACTGACTGTTCTTACACTTACAGCAAATGCACAGAATAAGCCTGTATGTCCCATTAATGTAAAGAGAATCCATGACCTACATCATTTACAGATAAATTAGCCATTTCTGGTAAAAGTTATGGAAGGAGGCCAATTTGTTTGTCTAATTATTCCCTGATTGCAAAAATCCTTTTCCATTTCTGAGGCAGTTTAAAAGAAGTATCAAATAAAATTATAACAGTTGTGGTTTGTAAGTGTCTTAATATTGATTTCAGAGCTTCTATTCTGGATCTCATTCCAAAATACTTCAGATACAATTCTTCCAGAAAGACCAACAGCTGACTTTCCAACACAGCAGCAACAAAGCCATTAGGTTAATCTGCTTTATGGTTGACCTAAGTGGTTCAGAATTAACACTTTTGCCTCCTTCATATGTAATTGCTGGCTAGAACAATGTCCAACTTGAAGCCACTCATCTTCTACAAAGAGAAGGGTGGATGCGGCAATACACCATTACAGTGAAGAAACACCGCAATTACATTTTCACATACATGAGAACCTTACCTTCTTCTACCCAAATGACTTCTTACAGCTAGATTTTCAGCATTTACCTCTTTATATATTTTTGCTTTTTAAAAAGATAGGTACTAAATTCACTTAGGCCATTGCATTAGAATATGGTTTGGGAAAGTTTAGATGTTTTCATTTTTCAACTTTTTTTTTTAAACTTCAGAGAAACATTTGAAAATTTTCTGTAAGGCAAGGTTGTTGGCTTATTCATCATAATTCCAAAAAATGAAACTGCTGTGGTAAAACAAAGCAATCTGGTGTAAAAACACATTTAGAGAAATAAGAATGTTTGAAGTCATCAGACAGACATCCCACAGTCACAGTGATCTTCCTTGCAGACAGGATTTGTAGCATGACTCTCATTTCGCTGAGCACAGTATTAGTCAGTCTGCCTTGAGACAGAAAACTTGGATTCTGTCCTACAAAATGAAAATAATGAGAAGCGTCAAATAACCTTTGGCTAGCAAATGTACACAGACTCTATTTGTTAAGACTCAATGGCTATTACACCGACACTGAGATGCTGCCATTGAATTGCTCATCACAGACTCTATTTGTTAAGACTCAATGGCTACTACACCAACACTGAGATGCTGCCATTGAGTTGCTCAGGGACCTCTGTGCTTCAGCTTTCCTGCCTGCAAAGGGCAAGCAACGTACGTCTGCGGTTGAGAAGCACAAGGCTACATAGCACTAGGGGTGCATGATTGCTACAACATCATTCTTGCAAAACTGATTCCACAAACCAGATTGTCAGATACCAGCTGAGAAATTCCTACTAGACCACACCCAGATAAGCTCTGAGAGCATAAAACTGCAACAAGAAGATGACCTACAGCGTGCCTTTAACTGTACAAATCAATCAACTGGTTCAATGAAAAATGCAAAAGAATCGACGCAAAAGCTCTACATCTACACAGAGATGCATGAGAATAATCTGGGTACATACACTGTCCTACAATACATCTTTCCCACAGCAGAGGAAGTTGCAGGCAAGTTCCCTAACAGATTTTAAACTCAAGTGAATTCAAATCTGCTCCTACTTAGAGCCACATTTTCCTTCAGACCACTCATGATAAAGATAGAAATCTTTCACTGAAAAATCAAAACATTGCTGTTTAACTACTTTCTTATGCTACAAAGACATTTGTAATCACTGCCCACTAAATAACAAATACTGATAGCATGCCCTTACTGTGCAAGATCCAACTTCAAGACACAAAACACTGTGGAATTGAGACCTCAGATCTTCAAATCAGAATTGTAACACTGACGTACCACTAACTTCAGGCTAGGAGACAAGTTCACACA